GAAGCATATACTGCGCAAGACGCAGGTCTTCTTCGATGAGGTATGCATGCGGTTATTGGCTAACATCTCTTATAGGGTTCGCCGGCTAACACATATTTAAGATTATATATATATGCGACTACGTGGCAAAGGCTTTCCGAAAGCTGTTGGCACAAAATTTTCTAATTAACATATGGCAATAACTTGCTAACCAATAACCCAGCCTGACAACACAAATGGTGCAGCTTTGGTATATAACTACACAAACTTTTCCCAAAGTATTATTATTTATTTAAATGAAATCGTAATACAACAGAACAACATAATACATGCAGCACTTACCACCGCCAACATGTCCAAGCCTATATACTATATGCATATTTATACAAATGTATGTGCACTCTCTTTAGTTGGTGTATTTTTCTGTGCACAAGTTAGCTTTAGTTTAAGCTTAGTTATTTTATTTATATATATAGTTATATTTTCTTTTTCTGCGCATGCCTGACTTACGTTCTAGCTATTGTATGTACATACATATTTGATTAGCGTTAATTGTTTTATATTTTTGTTTATTTTATATTATTTGTTTTTACGTTTTATTTTCCATATCAATCAAATCAATTCAATATACCCAATACAAACGAAACAAAACCCCGAACCCTGCAAACGCACAAACCAAACCAAAACCAAAACCAACAACACCCCCCATAAACACCACCACACCAACAACAACAACAACACCGCCACGTTTTTCCGCCCGATTGTGTTGCCAGTCGGTGCCAATGGTTTACAAATCGTCCACACATTCATCAAAACAATATCGACGCTATCTGCAGATGGCCGACAACCAGAACGAGGATGAGCAAGCGCAGCTGTTGGGCGAGGAGGGCGTGCGCGCCAATCAGCCTGGCCAAAATTTGAAGCTTGGGTAAATATTGAAACCTCAATGAATTAGTCGATCACTCTGCAAACAAGAACTGCCAACCAGATACCAATGGAAAACTAAACTCAGCCTGCGCATTTACCAAATGATAAAAAACAACAACAAACAAAAAAATGTTTGTCAAATTTAGAGCAAAACCAAACCAAACCAAACCCGACTCGCTCGCTCGCTCTCATTCTCCATGGCTATTTTGCGTGTCCTATCTATACATAAAATATATAATTATAATTGAGTATTATCTGTGCGTCTGCGTGTGTGTGTGTGTGTGTGTGTGCAGGTTAGGTTCTGTTTAGCGAGACCTTTTACTAAGTTTAATATGTAAATGTGTATATATGTCTGTGTATATGTATTAACTTAAGACCAATGATTGTTCTGGTGATGGTTATTATCCCCCAACCTTTCCTACCCGTACCGACACCCATACCCATGCCCATCCACAAACCACAAAGATTTGGAGGCGGGAAGCTTTATTTAACCAGCCAAGCTACTAATCGCATAAACTAAGCATATATGTATGTAATTTGATTCACAAAGATGCTGGTGTTACCACAGAATTGTCGCCAAAGAAAACAAACAACAAATATTTAAAACAATTTCTAGCAGGAGGGCGGCCTGAACCACACCACCGAGTCGATGACGCGCGCCCTCATCACCGATGAGGTGCGCACCGCCGGTGCATCCATGGGTCCCGTACAGCTTGGGTATGTATCCAACCATGTGCATACAATAGCTACGTACTTTTGGCCACTGCCATGCAATTAATTACGTTACATTAATTATATGAAACAAAAAATTATTGCTTAACGCCGCCGCCAACTAACCAATTAAAGACGCTGCGCTTATGCCACACAACGAATCCGAATCCGCATCCGCATCAAAAGTGCCACCAACACATCAAATGATCCAACACCAAACATTATCGATGTCGGGCTTATATCTTTTGGAGTCTCCCTCTCAAACCCTTTCGGAGCAATAATTTTCTGTTCAAAAAAAAAAAGGATCCTTTCCTTAAACAAAAAAAAAAAAAAACTAAAACCAACACCGTTCTCTCTTCTGTTCCTCTCTTCCCAAAACAAAACAAAAAAACATCCGTCTATATGATCAAACACAAATCGTGATAAATTCTTTATCAATTGTTTAGTTTTATGGAAAAATCGATTGAACGTGAGGATTATCTGCCCTGGTTGGTATCCCACAATTCAAAATTTAGACTAGGAATACTCATGCTCATAAACTGTATATAGAGACATGTCACAGTGGTCATTGGCTTCGCTCGCCGCATACGCCCCCTTAAAAAAAAAAAACAAATATTCCCAAAAAAAAAAAAAAAAAAAACATGTGCCCGTTCTAAATGTTATCGCCACGCTCCATTCCATGCTACGTTCATTGGTATTTGTGCTTGAGAGTTTAGTTTTCCTTTTTGCCGTAACTAACCGGATTGATAGATGGAAACCCTCCACAAATGCTCGTCTATTAATCTTTGATCTCTCATAGCTTTGTGGCCGGCGTCATTTTGCGGGAGAAGCTGCCCGCCTTTGAGCGCATGCTGTGGCGCGCCTGCCGCGGCAATGTATTTCTGCGCCAGGCCATGATTGAGTCGCCTCTGGAAGATCCCACCAATGTGAGTAAAACGAGAAGATAACATTTCAATTGATATTCAACGTTTTCAATGCATTCTTCAGGGCGATCAGGTGTACAAGTCGGTGTTCATCATCTTCTTTCAAGGCGATCAGCTAAAAACGCGCGTGAAGAAGATCTGCGAGGGCTTCCGCGCGACGCTCTATCCTTGCCCCGAGGCGCCAGCCGATCGTCGTGAAATGGCCATGGGTGTCATGACACGCATTGAGGATCTGAATACGGTGCTCGGCCAGACGCAGGATCATCGTCATCGTGTCCTGGTCGCAGCAGCCAAGAATCTGAAGAACTGGTTCGTCAAGGTGCGCAAAATTAAGGCCATTTATCATACGCTGAATCTCTTCAATCTGGACGTGACTCAGAAATGTCTGATTGCTGAGTGCTGGGTGCCGCTGCTCGACATTGAGACGATTCAGCTGGCGCTGCGACGTGGCACTGAGCGTTCGGGTTCATCGGTGCCGCCAATTCTGAATCGGATGCAAACATTCGAGAATCCGCCTACATATAATCGCACCAACAAGTTTACCAAGGCCTTTCAGGCGCTAATCGATGCATACGGTGTAGCCAGCTATCGGGAAATGAATCCGGCGCCCTATACCATCATTACCTTTCCATTTCTGTTCGCGGTCATGTTTGGCGATTTGGGTCACGGAGCCATAATGGCTCTCTTCGGCCTCTGGATGATACGCAAGGAGAAGGGCTTGGCTGCACAGAAAACGGACAATGAGATCTGGAACATTTTCTTTGCCGGTCGCTACATCATTTTCCTGATGGGTGCCTTTTCCATGTACACGGGCCTCATCTACAATGACATTTTCTCCAAGTCGCTTAACATATTCGGCTCGCATTGGCATCTGTCGTACAACAAGTCGACAGTTTGGAACAACAACTTTTTACAGCTGAGTCCAGCTACCAGTGATTACGAGGGGACACCATATCCGTTTGGCTTGGATCCCATTTGGCAGGTGGCCACATCGAATAAGATTGTCTTTCAAAATGCCTACAAAATGAAGATCTCCATTATATTCGGGGTATTGCACATGATCTTTGGCGTCATCATGAGCTGGCACAATCATACATATTTCCGCAATCGCCTGTCGCTGATCTACGAGTTCATTCCACAGCTGGTTTTCTTGCTGGTGCTCTTCTTTTACATGGTGCTGCTTATGTTTATCAAATGGAATCGTTACGAGGCTACCAACGCATGTAAGATAAGGTGCTATCTTCTTGTTGCCATTATTTAATATCTTCTTATTGTAGTCCCCATGACGGAGGCATGTGCGCCTTCAATTCTGATTACATTCATCGATATGGTTCTCTTTAAGGAGTCCAAGGCGCCGGGAAAAGACTGCAACGTCTATATGTTTTGGGGTCAATCATTTTTCCAAACTGTTTTTGTATTGATCGCTCTCGCCTGTATTCCGGTCATGCTGCTAGGCAAGCCCATCAAGATTATGCAGGCGCGTAAGCTGGCCAACGTAAGTACATGATACTGCATATCTGCTGTCATATCCGGCGTTAGATGCATTCTTGCCAATCCTTTCACCATTCAATCCACATCACATCTTCGTTAAATTTCAAACTAGTGTACACGTGCCTACATTAATAGATAATTATTGTGTTTGCACTTCTGTTTATTTATGCCCTGCCCTTGCCCTTGCCCCCAAACTAACCAACCAACCACTTCCAAAAAACACGCAACAAACGAATAAACTAAACACCAACCCAAATGCTGCAGGAAGAGGTTAGTCTTGTCGTTTGTTGTACCACAAAGCCTAAGAACAAGTACCCGAGTCTTTAACTAATACATCAACTCTTACATTCGAACAGGTTCAGCCCATAACTGGCGGCTCATCTGATGCTGAAGTCGGCGGCATGTCGAATGGAGGGGGCGGCGGACACCATGACGAGGAGGAGATGTCAGAGATATTCATACACCAGGGTATACACACGATTGAATATGTGCTGGGTTCCGTATCCCACACTGCATCTTATTTGCGATTGTGGGCTCTCTCCTTGGCTCATGCCCGTAAGTCAAATCAATTAGTCCTGCTCGATATGTAAAACAATTTAACTTTATTTACAGAACTTGCCGAGGTCTTGTGGACAATGGTTTTGTCTCTGGGCTTAAACAAGGAGGGCTGGCTTGGCGGCATCTTTTTGACCGTTGTGTTTGCCTTCTGGGCTGTTTTAACCGTGGGCATTTTAGTTTTAATGGAGGGTCTTTCCGCATTTCTACATACGCTGCGTCTGCACTGGTATGTCTGATATCCAAAGAGTTGAAAATTTAAATTAATGCTGTTGCCTTTTGCAGGGTGGAGTTCCAGAGCAAGTTCTATATGGGTCAGGGCTATGCCTTTGCGCCCTTTTCGTTTGATAGCATCATTGAAAATGGTAGCGCAGCCGCTGGTGAGACCGAATAGACGGTCGACGAGATATGAACAACAACCAAAGCATGTAGAGAGTCTCATCGCTTATGCAGTTAAATTAGTACATATAATATGCCAATCTAATGGAATTTAATAGAAATCTGCTTATTAATCGTTCTATTTATATAATTAATAATCGTGAATTTATGCAACGTATAGCCCTATTACATTGTCTAACGTTCTTCATAGTCGTTTATCGTGTTTACTCATTAATATAAATATATATATATCTAAAGCGCCCGCTTCAGGCGTCAGCGCCAAAACAAAAACCGTTTAAATACTATTGACTCATCAGTTCTTTTAATGCCTCTATAAACATTTGCATATTCTTTGTGGCTGGTTCGTAGGGCCTTAGAGCTCCGAAGTCCAAAGTGCTTAGTTTACTGGCAACCTCATGCACTCTGCAGTAGTACAGGTAGTTCTCAGATGCCAATTGACGCGCTAATTCCAGCTGATGATTGTCCATCAGTTCGTCATTCACTACGATTAGTCCTGCCTTGCCATTATTCAATATATCCATGCATGTACCGGCGCCAGCATGTCCAATGATCACATCGGCAGCCCTAATATCCTCCACATTCGGGCGAAATTTGTATTGCTCCACTTGAATGCCATATTTCTCATTGATACGCCGGATTTCTGACTCGGCCACCGGCGTGGAGTTCCCATGTTGCAGCACAAGCTTTTGGCATTTGAGATCTTGCAAAGCGCACAGCACCTGGTTGGACGACATGGCATCAATTAATGCATCGAATTTTGTAGTGCCAACAGTGACGTAGACAACATTTAAATGCATCTTTTAGCAGCAAGTATACAAAAGATAACAATAAAACGGCATAGGGATGGCAAAGTAACAAAAGCAACCGAATCCTGATGCGATACATATGCATTATTGTATATCGATACTTTAATGCGATAGCACGCTGCGATTAAGCCGTTACCTGCTTCAAAATTGTAAGTGAGTTTGGTTTGTCTTTTATTAAATTTTAACTGTTTTTCGAATCAATTTATTTAATAAATTCATAGAAGATTTGTAACATTACACTTCCAAAATTTTGTTAATCATAATAAAATGTATTCAAATTTCTTGTTTGTTTTGACATGTAACCGTATTCTCTTCGGGTTTAAATTCATTTCAGTGAATAATTTATATTAGAGGATATACTTATTTGAGCTTCTATCTATTTTGGTTTTATTTCTAAAAAGGCTTTTCAGTATATTGGTAGATTCTATATAATAATCATTTGCATAATTACGCGACTGCTTGCTATTTCACTGTCTGTTTCTCACCCACACATGGGCCAAAGCTGTTACTCTCTTCCTCTCTTGTTTCGATTTCGATCTACACGTACGCTGGCTACAATTATGTTGTCGGTGCTGTTGCGCTTTCAGTTCTCGGTCGGTCGTTACGCGTAACGGTTGTGTTGACTTTCGTGCTGCTGCTGCTCGCTGGCTGATGTGATACTTGGACAAATTGCATTTATGTATATAAGCCAACAACGTCAGCGCAGAAATCCAATTCATCTTCCTGGAAAAAAAAACTTGTTTACTTTAATTCAATTATCAACGTGCGACTGTGAAATTGTAGCCTTGACCGCTAAAAATCTAGGCAATTTTAAATTTGCAATTGTGTTGGTGACCACCACTGGCTACTGCTTGACAGTGTGTGTGCAAGTGTGCGGGAGTATTTATTGTCATACTCGATTGCAGTTGCGCCGCCAAAGCATAACACAAACTGCACATAACTGTAAACTTGTAGAATCGGTGGGAGTGTAAGGAGAGCAGCGCCACCGCAGGCAGAAGAAGAGGTAAAACTCAAATCCAGCATACTTAACGCTGTAATTATTTTATTGATATTTTTATTTTAAATGGATTTCGTGATCCATTTATATTCTGCAACAGAAACAGTGGGCCACTACGTAAAGACAAGTAGATGTACACATAATATATATGTATATATAATTAAAAAAATATATACATGAGTATTTATTTGTGTACATACAACGTATAAGCCGTGAACTTATCAACACTTCATTTAATATCATTTTTATTTCTGCACATTTCCAATTTGTTTATTTTGTATACAATTTCCATATTAGCTGTTGATGTGTTTCGCGCACATCTCCAGCCTCAGTCAGCATTTTGCATCTGTTAAACATAAACTCAAATGGGCCACTCGCTGCCGGCTTTAAAACTTGATATCTACAACTACATATATATGTGAATACATATGTACATATATATTATGTGTATGCATGTATGTGTGAATGTGTGCTCATCATTTATGGCAGCTCACGCAGGATAAATAAATAAAATACCAACATTTCCTTGATTAGGTACTAGTTTCTTTATTTTTATAACCATTCATAGATCGAACTCATAAAAACTTTATAAGCATTTTCTACAAAAAAAAATCTGTTTAATTTTGTGCTTTCTGACTACACTGCTGCCGAAATTTAATTAGTGCACAAGTGCAAATTGGCCTGTCCAGTCCGTGATCACTTCTTCATTTGTAGCGCGCAAATATGTATGTATGGGTGAAGAGAGACCAGAGACAGATGGACGCCACGCAAACAGCGCCCCGCCCCCTTTAACATCATTACGATCATAATCATCATGCAACGTGCAATAAATATACTTTTTATAGTCTCGTGTGTGCGCCTCTTAAACGCGTGAGAGTGCCGCAGATAGCAACAGATTAAAAGCAGCGCCGCGGGGAAGCCAACGATTAAATGTGTTTTGATGTTTCAATCATGCTGATGATACAGTAAAAGCTGTACTAACGAACGGCTCTCTTGAACAGTTATATTATGGAAAATTCTTTTCTCTCACTTTTTCCACAAAACGCTTCTAGATCCAGCAAGTCAACTTTTTCTATATATAATATCCGCTCAAGGAAGGGTTCACTGTAATGTGACACATGCATATGTGTGACCATATGCAGCTAAAGGCGCTTCGCAATGTACATATGTCCTTGTGTGTTAATAATTACTTGACCAGCCAGACAGCGCCATCATCATAATCATCATCGGGTTTACGCACTTGGCCAATAAAATATTGCTATAAATTGAACCCTCGCAGTGGGACCACTGACCCCCATCGGGAAAGCGTAGACATATGAGCCACATGCGAGGGCGTCGCATCATCTCAGTTGTTTCTCTTTTTTTTAATGAAGGTCAAAGTGTCGGCAATGCGGCCAGAGTGGCCAGCGTTTAATTGTGGCAATTTGCAGCAGCCCGCAGATCAAATTAATGTCAAAACTCAATTAGCCGACATTCGGGCACACTTGCTCGTGTATATACAGATATGCATATGCAAATGAGTGGAACATGTTTACATTCTGTAGGAAAGCCGATTATCGCCACAGACATTTCATGTACCTTGTTGTATTTCACAGTATTTTTAATTGACATTTTCCCAGCTATAAAAATTGAATAAAATGCTGATGATTAACTTTTGCCGCTGCAAAATTACAAAACCACAAGGGTTTGCTGACTGGAAAAACCATATAAATTGTTTTATTTTTATTTTTGAATAACATTTTTTTAGCAACCTATTGCAGTGAAAATTAATAACTTAAAGATCGAATAATAATAAAAATAATAATTACATACATATGTATATATATGTAAAAGACATCAGATCTATTTAGTAACAGAATATCTGGTTTTTCTCAGATAAAACGTTTATTATTACAGATTATCTAGGTAACAGTCTAAGCCAAGGCTCTGTATGAATTGGGCTCATACAACTAATGAAAATACTAGACTTATAGAATCTAATCATGAGATCATTATTACGCCCTTGTCTATTGAGAATGAAGGATAACAACAATTGCATGCTTACTTTACTTACGTATTGAATAATATATTACTGTCTCATTATAAAGCACAGCTTGACAATCATTGTGACTAATCTTTTTATAAAAACGCACAAGCACTAGCAATTATTAAATAAATACACATATTTCGATGTGGATTGACCATGACTTCTTGATAACCATAGCCACAGATTATGGGGCTATAGACTGGACACTGACCCTTACCATAAGATTAATATAAAATTCACACTCTTTTACGCATTTGATCTGGGCAGCAAGATGGGATTGGTTTAACCAGCTGTTCATTACTCGGAATCATTAAAATATATCATTGGGAATTAACATTTAATTAAACAAAAACGTCTTATTGACAGCAAAATGGGAATTCCAAAAGAATGTATTCTCAACTGACACAATATATCTACAGCTAGCATATAGTGCTCTGACGTATTAAGTACATAGATCGTCGACTAAGCAAAACAGGTATTTAGCACCGAACACCTAGTCGTTATATGACACATAAATCAGCCTATCGAGAGGGTTACATATATATATATTTACAACGTTTCGCATGAGAGTATATCTTATGCTTGAACAAACTGAAATAAGTAAGTGGTTCTAGTCGGGAGCTCCCGACTAGGGGATACCCCGAACCCTCTTCTTCCAACACCAAATGCAAATATATATACTAGAAGCTACATATCGACATAGATTTTAATCGATTGCTTGGAAACGGGGCAAGTTCTCGAATATCGGAAGCAAACTTGATCTGCGCGGGCACTAGGAGGAGTCTCTAGCTCTTATAGGTCTCTAGCTCTTATAGGTTCTGAGATCCTTGCGTTCATACATACGGACGGACGGACAGACGGATAGACGGACGGACAGACGGACGGACAGACGGATAGACGGACGGACATGGCTAGATCGACTCGACTGTTGATGCTGATCAAGAATATATATACTTTATGGTGTCGGAGGTGCTTCCTTCTGCCTTTTACATACATTTGCTCAAACACATTATACCCGTTTTACCCATTTTTAATCGGTTCAGGGTATAAAAACACTCGCTGAAAATTATCGCTCTAAGCACAAATATTTAAATACATTTATGGAATATTCTATTATTAAATATTCCTTTTTTAAGGAAAAGTATTCCTTCAATGTAACGATAATGGGAAAAGGCATGAATAGGGTAATAAATGAAATAAGTAAATCGTGTTTGGGCTCAAAGATTTTCTTCCTGAGTGTACTGTATGGGGGGATATTTGAGATACTTAGCCGGCTAAATCTCTTAAGGGGTAAATTATATAATTATGCATATATACTTTGAACTAATATCATGAGCAACCCTTTGTCCTAACCACAATAAACGTGCATATAAGCACGATTCGATCAACGTTGCAAGACTCTGCCGCAAGTCCAGGGGGTTGTAGGAAACCACTGAAGTGGCCATGGCTGGGATTCAGATTGCAAAATAACGTGCCACTTTCAACCTGCAGATGTATATCGAATTACTGAATACATTACGACCATGACGAGCTATCAATTAGGCTTTGCAAATTGCAGCGGAAGTGTAAACGGAAGTGGTGTGCACTCCACACATACTAATCGATAAGTTCTTCCTGTGCACAGGTTAAAGCAGCGACATGGTCGTCAAGGAAATGCCACTGCACGAGAATCTGAGCATGGAGAGCCGGCATGGCAATTCCCTGGGCACACCCGCTGGCAGCAGCGGACCCACAGCAGGAGCCACTTGCTCACGCATGGGCCGACGATACACCGTGTCCCTGACGACGGCGGTGCTGTTGGCATCCTTCTTCGCTTGCACAATACTCGCCGTTGGCTTTATTGTGTATAATTTTGCGACTTGCGGCGATCTGGAGCCCGCAAGCGGTGAGGATATTGTTTGCACCAGCGTAAATTTGCGCAACTCAAAACATGCGCATGACGCCAGCGATGGACCCAAATACGATCAGGATGTTCGCCTGCCCCGCTCCATACAGCCGCTTAAGTACAATATCACGCTGGAGCCGCAGCTGAGCGGCAATTTCAGCTTCACCGGCAGCGTACAGATTCGTGTGCGTGTGCTCGAGGATTGCTACAACATAACCATGCACACCGAGGATCTGAACATAACGCGCAACGATGTGACCGTCCATCGTGCGCTGCCCAGCGGCAAGGACGAGTGGGAGTCGGACAGTCTACGCATCCATAAGCAGTACCTGATCGGTGCCAAGCAGTTCTTTGTCATTCAGCTGTACGATAAATTGCATCGAGGCTCGGAATATGTGGTGCACATACGCTTTTCGGGCATTATAAAGGACTATTTGCAGGGCTTCTATCGCAGCTCCTATAAGATGCTCAATGAGACCAGGTGAGCTGCGTGGCATCAACTCGGTAAAATTATCTGGCTAAGACTTGAGTTTTTCATTTTATGACTCACAGGTGGGTGGCTTCTACGCAGTTTCAGGCAACGGACGCCCGCCGCGCCTTTCCCTGTTTCGATGAGCCGGCACTTAAGGCGAATTTTACGCTGCACATAGCACGCCCACATAACATGACAACCATCTCCAACATGCCCATTGTCAGAAGCAATAATCAGTAAGGATTCTTTATTCGTTAGAAAAATATAATGAGACAAATGTAATCCAATTAACACCTTAATTATACAGCGAATCGTTACCCGGTTATGTGTGGGATCACTTCGCGGAATCGCTGCCCATGTCCACGTATCTGGTGGCCTATGCCATATCTGATTTTTCGCACATGTCGTCTGGTAATTTCTCTGTCTGGGCCCGTGCCGATGCCATTCAAACAGCCGAGTATGCGCTGAGCGTGGGTCCCAAGATCCTTGATTTTCTGCAGACCTATTTTGGTGTCGCATTTCCTTTGCCCAAGATCGACATGATAGCGCTGCCCGAGTTTCAGGCTGGAGCTATGGAAAACTGGGGCCTCATCACATTCCGGGAGACAGCCATGCTGTACGATAAGGGCGTAGCCACAGCCAGCAACAAGCAGCGCGTTGCCTCCGTGGTTGGACACGAGTTGGCCCACCAGTGGTTCGGTAATCTGGTCACGCCCAGCTGGTGGTCGGATATTTGGCTAAATGAGGGCTTTGCCAGCTATATGGAGTATCTGACAGCGAATGCTGTGGCGCCCGAGTGGAAGCTGCTCGATGAATTTGTAGTCAATGAGCTGCAGACTGTATTCCAATTAGATGCCCTTGCGACAACGCACAAGATCTCGCAGGAGGTCGGCAATCCGCAAGAGATTTTCCAATTGTTTGATCGCATTTCGTATGCCAAAGGCTCCACAGTAATACGCATGATGAGCCACTTTCTGACCGATACCGTCTTTCGGGGTGGACTCAGCAAGTATTTGCAGAGAATGGCGTATAAGTCCGCCACGCAGGACGATCTCTGGCGCTTTCTGACTGACGAGGCAAAAACTTCGGGCCTGTTAGATAGCAGTACCAGCGTCAAGGCTATCATGGACACCTGGACACTGCAAGCTGGCTTTCCAGTGGTCAAGATCTCGCGGCATCCCAATACGGACGCCGTGCGCCTGGAGCAGGTTCGTTTCGTCTATGGCAATAGGAGCAAAACAGACGACCGTCCGCTCTGGTGGATACCTATTACATATACCACTGCAGACGAGCTTAACTTTGAGAACACACGACCCACCACGTGGATGCCGCGCACCAAAACCTACGAGCTGGAAAATCGCAATCTTTCTACAGCCAAATGGTTTATATTCAATATACAGCAAACAGGCTACTACCGCGTCAACTATGATCTGGACAATTGGCGTGCGGTGACCCAACATCTAATGGATGCAAAAAACCATCTAGAAATTGCGCCCGCCAATCGTGCCCAGCTAATTGATGATGTGATGAATCTGGCACGCGGCTCCTATCTGTCATATGACACTGCCATGAATCTTACGCGCTATTTGGCATATGAGACAAATCATGTGCCCTGGAAGGCAGCTATTACCAATTTCAACTTTATCGATTCCATGTTTGTTAACTCTGGGGATTACGATTTGCTTAAGGTAGGTCCAATATTGATTAACAAGATCGCATCATTCTCTTGAGCTGACATTTTATTCTCTTCTTCCAGGACTATCTGTTAAAGCTGCTGCGCAAGGTGCAGTACGAGGTGATGTTCACTGAAGCGCCTCGCGGTAAGGAAGATATTCCGCTCTTGTTAAAGCGCTCTGAAATATTTAGCATGGCCTGTCATCTGGGCCACCGGAAGTGCATCTCGGAGAGCACCAAGCAATTCCAAAACTGGATTGAAACTCCCAATCCCGATGCTTATAATCCGTAAGTTGGCAAGTGATAGCTGTTGTCGATTAAAATCTTATATATTAAATGCCAGCATTAGTCCAAATATGCGTGGCATTGAATATTGCTCGGCCATACAGTATGGCACGGAGTACGAGTGGGACTTTGCCTTCAAGCGCTATTTGAAGTCGAATGTGCCAGCTGAGAAGGAGCTGCTACTGAATGCATTGGGCTGCTCAAAGGAACCTTGGCTGCTGTACAGGTATCTGCGTCGCGCCATTGCCGGTCAGGACATACGTAAGCAGGATGTATTCCGGGTCTTTGCAGCCGTGTCCAACACGGTGGTAGGTCAGCAGATTGCCTTCGATTATCTGCGCAACAACTGGCAGGAGATAAATATTTAGTAAGCTTCTGAGTGGCTTGGCCATTACCTTAGCTAATTTTTATTTGTAATTATAGCATGGGCTCACAGATATCCAACATTCACACGCTGCTCAAGTTTGTTACCAAGCGCATGAACACAAAATTCCAGCTGGCCGAGCTGGAGGCATTTGTGCGCGATGCGAACTGGGCTTACGACAGGCCCATTCAGCAAATTGTGGAACAGGTGGAAATCAGCGTTGACTGGATGAATCGCAATTACAAAACGATTGTCAAATGGCTGCAGCGTGAGGCAGGCACGCTGGCCACGTAGACACTAATCCACGCATCCATCCGCACTTGGCTTCAGCTGCAGCAGTATTACATTTTGCAACAAAAGTGGAGCTTTTAATTTTTAGCATGGGGCAACCAGTGCATTTATATATTTATGTGTATATTTTAGTATTTATGTCGAGTGTCATGTCAAGTCAAAGCCAAAGAAACCTTTATAGCGCTTGATCAAACTGTTTAATGGACGGCCATTTGGTCGACCGTACAAAAGCTAGTAGAACCCTGTGTACATTTTTTACTTTTAATGTCCTTTTTAATAAGATCTATGAGAATCTGATCTTTTATTTCGTATATACTTGTATTGTACTTAAATGTAAAGAATAAATCGTAATTTGTTCAAACTTGTAACTACTTTTAATCGTAAGGTTGTAAAATGGAATGTCTAATCATTTTTCACAGCTTTTCTTCTCAAAATACCCAAGGAAACTGGACTGAGAACATCAGCAAACATTAAAGTGCCAAGAAACACGAGCACAGTGCCCAACCAGTGATAAATTGTAAACGGATTACTGAAGTATACAATCGAGAATACTAAAGATACGAATTTACGTAGTGTCAAGATCAATGTGACGGTAAGGGAGCTGCACTCGGTGGTCAGAAAATATACAGAGCTAATGCACAAATGCTGCATCAGAACATTACCAAGCAAATAAAGCAGCAGCAGCGGCACAGCCACATTTCCCAGCCAAGCAAATTTGTAGGGTTCGCTTTCTAGGGCCAAAGTCCAATGCGCTTTGATGTTGTCGTGCATAAACAAAAAGGCGGGCAGCGGCAGCAGATGTGTGTAATAGAGTGCCTCGCGGGCGCACTTGCCATGTCGACGATACAACAACTCTTGGGTGATGCCCATGTACGAGGAAATGAAGAGCGCCAGCACAAGCAGCAACACGCCCACTAGCCACCAAAATATGTTTGTCTCAGAGTGTGTCCCATGCCCTTTATCGATGTCCACATCCCGGCTAGAGAAATATGTGCAGATGAATATGCCGAGAGTAATCATGATAACGGATATATATTGCTTGACCCGATACTGACGTTTGAGTATTATGGTGCCCAGGCACATGTTCGAAATCAGACTGCCTCCGCGTATAATCATGTGCAGTGTCATAGGCACATTTAGATGGAAAACATAGTTATTGCACACGCTGGTCACAAAAAACATGACCACAAGCAGGGCATAGTCCCGCAGACTTATCACACGTTTCGCTCTACCAAATTTCGATGTGAATACGAATCCTTCCAGGGCAATAAATGCAAACTGGGCAGCGGTAATTAGATTACCCGCACCTGGATCCAATTTAACGAGCAGCTCCAGAAACACAACACCACAACAGCAGCCAACAAAGACGCTTGCAATGGCTAAACAAGCGCGAAGATTCATTGCGCTGGCCATGCATTAGACTGTAAATTTTGAAAAAAAAATTAACTTCGAATGCGTTGACGGCTTACAATTAAACTCACCTTTGGCCAGATATATAGGCCATTGGACGTTTGCCCAACAACTTTCTTTTACCCATGTCAACAAAAACAAATGCCACAGGTGGGCAACATCAGCCCTGACGGATAGTACGCTGATCAAACTTTCGATAGACTAAGTTACCAAAAATATATTAACTTTTCATGTATAAATAACATTGGGTTGACTGCTCTTTTGAGAAATCATGAATTTATAATAAGCATTTGACAACATTACTTGTTTAAACAATACAATAATTGATCAAATTCGATTAATTAAGCAAACAGAGAAAACTTGGTTCATGGCAGCTCAAAAGAACAAGTTCAGTCAGTTCACTTAACAGATCTTCAATTAACAGAACTGCCAAGAATGTCTGTTAACTAGCTAACCTTAAATCAATTTTTAAAGCAATGTTATAGTTGGGCGCAAAAATACAAAAATTGTTTGAATTAAAAAATAATAATACAAGCTTCCACACAAAGAAGTAAGTTTTTATTAACTACGTTTTGTTTTGTATGTTTCACTAGATTTAATAGCGCTTATTGCTTACAGTTACGTTCCTTTTGAGTCCATGCGTGACATATTTATTTATATAGTCGACATTGCTTCCAACTAAAGAATAATTGAGCACCCAATTTGTTTTAATGACTAATTAAATGTCCAGCCAATGCCTTGCCCGACTTATAAACAGCTCGCAGGCAAAGAGGGTCAAGCTAATTAGCACACCAACTACGTAACCTTGCAGCACGTCGTGCAGGTCCTCAGTCACTAACGAGCGGACATGACGTGCCTCGCCCAGGTCCCGAATCTGCAGTTTGCCCGCTTGTACCATGTAGTAGAAGCTCCTGGCCACCCAGTGCATGTACAAGCCCGATTGACTCAGTTGCAGTAGGAAATGATGAAGTGTGGCACGATGCGGCGAGTTCTCCGGAATAACCAAAGCGAAGGGCACATACTGATAGAAGCAAAAGTTCTTGGAGTAGTAAAACAACGGCCTGGAACTATATGCCTGCTGCTCCGCGTACAGCTGCCACTTGGTGTGCGTTACGGTATAGGCGTAGCTGGTATTCAAGGAGTTTCGCAGCCACAAAAGCTCCGCCACCTTGTCGCTGAGGTAAAACGCTTGCGCATATCGCGTGCGCAGATCAAAGTCATACAAGTTGTGTTCGAAGCGCATTCCAAAGATGCGCACATGCGAATTGGAGAGTGCGTCAAAGCTGTGAATGGATGGCTTTCCAGGTGGTGCAACAAGCAGGGTAACCAGTCTGCCCTGGACGTTGCAGGCCAGCATAATGGCCAAAAGCTTCCAGCCTATACCAAGCAGACGTCTATGACGATGGTAGCGACCTAGCAGGAGCTCATGGAGCGCCCAGAGCACGGCCAGAAAACACAAGGTAGCAGCAGGCAACATCCATGTGTATATTTCTCGTACACCTAAGAGCGGCTCCATGGGCAACATTGTGCACCAGCTGGCCATATATGCAGGATATGCGTACTCATGGTAACGATCCAGGTGGCGCAGCGTTAATGGCTGCACGCTGGCCGCTATGTCCACCAAATTATCACGCGCCAGATCCAATACTTGAATGTGACTCAAGAACTTTCCCTCTCGAACCACATCGATTAGTTGCAAGCCGGCATTGTGTTTGCGTGCAAATTCCTCCAGCATGTTCCAAACGTAGCCAAGCAGTCGAGGCTTACCTTCCTTATCGCGATAGAGTATGGTGTTGGGCTCAGACAGATCCGGCATTGTGCGAATCCGATAACCATGCAAGTCCAGCATTTTATCAGGATACAAATTGAAAAGCTCCTGCGTAAATTGTTTACGCTTCAGCAAGAAACTTGGATATGCATCGTAGATATACAACGTATGCGTTTCTCCGAAACTCCCAGAGATTAATGCAGCATTGAGCATCTGATTTTGTAGACAAAATTCTAGCACTCGCCTGACCAAGGGCACATCCTGATTGGTAATCAATTCTATAAGCAGTTTGGTCTGGCGCATATATCGCAAAGTGCTTGAGATTGTGTTCAGCAAATCCAGGCGATATACGCCAGGTAAGCAAGCCACAACCAGTAGTTGGGCATTGATGAAGCTGCTCAGCTTGAGTTCATCAATTGAGCGCCACCATAGCAAAGGAATACCCTTTCCTAGTACTGATAGCCAATTCTCCAAGTGGCAGCGCTCCTTTCCATCCTCAGGATCCAAATAGACTATTGTGCTAAAGCTGTTCAAGCGAACAATGGCTGAAAGGAGCTCAGCGTAGATTTCAACACTATCGTTCATGGTTAAGGTCTCCAAAACGACTGACTGCCAGCCTGGCAAGTGTTACAAAAGTTTACCCACATTATACTCTTACAATTTGAGTATGTTATTTATTTCATTCATATTAACATGTAAATTTTGTAATACAATATAAGAACGGGTTCCTTAAACTTCATTTTCTTGTATACTTTTAATAGAGTTTTGAATATTTATTACCATAATATTAACCTTTAGTTGGTGCTAAAGTGTATTTAACCGTCGACCACACGGATCAAGTTTGTATTAATGACATAACTTTGAATAATGACTTTTACAAAATGTGCAGGCAAACATTGATATAGAACACAATCAACTCAAATACAAATATCAATAGGGATATAGCCATTGCATATCCATATAACACCACTATGAAGTCCATCTCAACGAGTTTCAGGGGCTTTACTACAACTTGGGTGCTTAAGTCCTGCAGTTTGAAATAGCCCGCGTTTAGCATATCGAGAAAATGTTTGTCTATAAAAAACCTAAGGATGCCGCTTTGCCGCAACCAAAGTATATATAAATCTAGTTGATTGCGATGCAAAAAGTTTTCTTGAAAAATAACAGAATTATGTGAAACTTGTCGCACACAAAGCTTGGTAGAGTAGCGAAAAATTGGTCGTTTAAAGAACTTTTGCAGTTCGGCAATATTGTTCCACTTAATTTCATAAATTGTATAACCAAATGAAGAATTAAAACTATTACGTTGATATACAAATTGTGTGTAGTTTTCAAAGGATATGAATGATGATGCGTACTTGATTCTTATTTCGTCAGGATACTGATTAAATTCAGCACGTGCTCCGATAATCTTTAATCCGGATGCGTTCAACTGCTCCCAACTGGAAATCAATCGAAGTTTCTGCGGACCAATAAACAGCGCAGATAGTTGCGCAACCACGGTGCAGAGCAGAGTCAGTTGAATCAATGAAGGGAGCAGTGTCAAGATCGGCCTTCCGGGCATACGGCGTTTATATAGGTGGCGAATCAAACAATAGACGATACCCAGATATACCCACATCCAGGGCGACTCCAACACTCCGGTCATAGCCTCACGCGGACTGACCACACGCTCCACGGGCAACATAGTGCACCAGCTGTTGATGATAACCGGGTAGCTGAAAGTATTGAGGTTGCTATTTGAAGAATAGGTGAGTGGGAAAAGGCTGGTGGTAACGTCAGTTGTTCCATTTTGGATGTGCGGCAGTAATTTAAAGTAGCTGCTCCGCACAGAATGGGTCGAATTGGAATCATAACTCAGATCAAGAGTGGCGTTCAAGTAACGTGCAAACCCCTGCATAAAACGCCAGAGCACCCCGGTTGTTATTAATTTTCCGTTGCGATCTTTGTAAACCAATAAATAGGGCTGTGTTAGATCTGTCCGTGTCCTTATCACCTGGCCGTGTAGGTTGGCCAGTTTGTAGGGATATAGCTGCAAGCTGGCATGGTAGACCTGCGACAGCAGCCGGAATTTGGGAAACATTTGATAGGCATAAATCATATCAGTGTTAAAGAAATCATTCAATAGCAACAGAACATTCGGCATAAGCAGGTCCTGGCAACGCTTAAGAATCTGTCGGCCTTGTTCCAGCATACTTGTTTGATCCGGATCCCTTGTGCATATCTGTAGCAGCAGGGGTACCTCCCTCATATGGTTCAGCATTGTACTTAGCGTGATCAATACGGGTTCAAATAAATCAGAGTTCAAGCAAACCAAGCCCAGAATACCTACATTCTGGCTTAACCTTAAATATGGTGCATTCGACGCGTTGTTCCATACCAAAGTGGTAGTCGTCATGTTTCCCTCGTCCAATAGTTTTTCAATCCAACAGCGACATTTTTCCGCCTTGAAGTACAGAAGAGTTCTGAATCCAAGCTCACCTTTCAAGTGCAACCAGAAGCTAGCCAGTTGCTCTGCACTTGGCCAGTCGAGTACGGATTGCTGGTTCTTCCACATTTGTATTACGACTGTTAGCTTTGACAAATGTCCTGGATGCTTTTATAAGGGTCTACAGAATTGAAGTGTCAGCATGCTTAAGGGGCTGACTTGCAAATTGGCATATCTAGTATCCGAAATTATAGCGGAGCAAGGACTTTTGTTCGAAAATGTTAGATCTTTATAAGTATTTCGACGGGATAATTATAATTGCGCTTATTATATACATATATATCACCATACTAGTTAAAGTATATTATAAAAACGGATATTTACTTTTATTGAATTTATTTTACTATAACAAATATTAGTAAACATTTAAAAAACTTGCTTAAGTTCGTTATTATATTTTGGATCTAATCGTAATGTAAAATTTGAATGTAATTGATAATAACGCAAATAGTGAATCACGATTCAATATGCTGTCACAGCTGTAACTAGTTCCCTTCAAATACTTTTGCAAAGTAACAGTGACTGCTTTGTATTTATCGCACATCTCTAAGAGCTATCGCGCCGACTGTCGCTCTCTCCTTCGCACCAAATTCGCGAGCTGGTCATATAGTTTTTTTTTTCCCGCACTGGCATAATAATTGTTTCGCGCTTTCATTTGCGAATAATTTTTTAATAAAAAAGATTAACTAGCAACAGCCGTGAAATGAGCGAAACTATAAACACGGCGGCCCAGTTTCCAACGTTCGAGAAACCGACAGTCCAGTTCAACGAAAAGGGCTGGGGACCATGCGAGCTACCAGACACGTTTAAGGATGTGCCTTACCAGCCATTCAGCAAGAACGATCGCCTGGGCAAGATCTGCGACTGGACAAGCACCTCTAACAATGACAAGAAGTATCAAAGTAAGTTAAAGCCAAACTTTTATTTTGCATATGCACAAAGTGAGGTTATGTTCGCATGTCTGCGCTTTGTTTGTGTGTGTGTCGTGGCAACAAACTGGAGATTAAACTTTTGTTTTTAGATAAATATGCTTCTACCTTTGGCACCGGCAACCAATATGCCTATTACCATGAGGAGGACGAGACAACGTTCCATCTGGTGGATACGGCACGCGTCCAGAAGCCACCGCATCAACGTGGACGTTTCCGCAACATGCGTAATTCGCGTTCAGGACGTGGCCGCAATGCACGCGGTGGGCTCAATACGCACGGTCATGGCATGACCACACTGAGCAGTAAGAATGTTAAGGCACGCGATCCGCGACGCGGCATGGGCAAACGGTTTGGTAACCGCGGTCCGCCACCAAAGATGCGAGAATCTTCGGTGGCTGTGCGGGCCGACTGGGCCTCCATTGAAGAGATGGACTTCCCGCGTCTCATTAAGCTATCGCTGCCGAACATCAAGGATGGCGAGGATATTACCACTTGCGGCACCCTGGAGTACTATGATAAGACATACGACCGCATCAATGTGAAGAACGAGAAGCCGCTGCAGAAGATTGATCGCATTGTGCACACTGTAACCACCACTGATGATCCGGTCATACGTCGTCTGTCCAAGACGATTGGTAACGTGTTTGCCACGGATGCCATTCTGGCTACTATTATGTGCTCGACACGCTCCAACTACTCTTGGGATATTGTCATCGAAAAAGTTGGTAAGGGATCTCATGCATAAAACTAAAGTGACTCTACTAGCCATGCTTTTATTTTATCGACAGGCGAGAAAATCTTCATGGACAAGCGCGACCATACGGAATTCGATTTGCTAACTGTGAATGAGACTAGCGTTGAACCGCCCACTGACGACGATAGCTCGTGCAATTCGCCGCGTAATCTGGCCATTGAGGCCACCTTCATAAATCATAACTTTAGCCAGCAAGTGCTCAAAACCGGCGACCAGGAGGCCAAATACAAGTTTGAAGAAACCAATCCCTTCATTAGTGAAGACGAGGACATACAGGTGGCCAGTGTTGGCTATCGCTACAAGAAATGGGAACTGGGCAGCGATATTGTAAGCACATCCCTTATTTGCGTAACTTCTAACTAATTGAAAATCTTTGGCAGGTTCTGGTGGCGCGTTGCGAACATGATGGTGTGCTGCAAACGCCCAGTGGTGAACCGCAGTTCTTGTCCATCAAAGCATTAAACGAATGGGATTCGAAGCTGGCCAACGGAGTTGAATGGCGCCAGAAGCTTGATACACAGCGCGGCGCCGTGTTGGCCAACGAGCTGAGAAACAATGCTTGCAAACTGGCCAAATGGACGGTACAAGCTGTGCTTGCTGGTTCTGATCAGCTAAAACTGGGCTATGTATCGCGTATTAATCCACGTGATCATTCGCGTCACGTTATTCTGGGCACGCAGCAGTTTAAGCCGCACGAGTTTGCCACGCAGATCAATCTGAGCATGGATAACGCCTGGGGCATATTGCGGTGTATCATTGACTTGGTGATGAAGCAAAAGGATGGCAAATATCTGATCATGAAGGATCCCAACAAGCCGATTATACGCTTGTATGATATACCCGATAATACATTCGACTCAGATGATTCGGACGATGGCGAGGGAGATGATGGTGAAGGTTTCCAGCAGGTCTACAACTATGCCAACAACAGCAACAAGATTTAGTTTTGTTTCCAGCTCTGTTACCATTATTACGCTATAAACACAAACACATACGCATACCTATAAACATATTTGTATAATCATAAAAACAACAACCGGTTAAACAATGCCAAATCACATTAATAATTTTGTTGGCATTAGCTTTAATCATTTGATTATAAGTTGGCTTCGTTTGCAAGTGCAACGAATTCCGAGTAAAATACAGAATGGAAACAGACTTGTTCAGTTGTGTGGCCTTTTAATGGGTAGGTCGCTGGGCAATGCAATATACCCAGCCTCACAAGCTGGCCAACAATTGATCATTCGGACATCTAGCTGATACATTGGCGAAACGAGGTTATTCTCAACGCGAAGCTTGCGACAATCAGTTCAGGCTAATCTCTCGGACGCTATCTGTTTATGTTGGCGGCAATGAAGCTGCAGCTGATATTGCTGGGCGCATTAGGCGACTTCTAGTTGTACATTGTTTATCTGGAATTGTGGTCTCCTGTTACTCAAGCCGATACACCGGTTGAAGAGAGGATCTCGATGAGCTTTCACACCAGGCCTCCAAGTGCAAAGAACTCTGAGTAAAGCACAGAATGGTAACTGACTTGTTCAGTTGTGTGGGGCCTTATTGGGTGGATCGCTAGGCAATGCAATCCGTACAAGCTGCTCAACGATCGATCACCCCTGACATCTAGTCGATTTATTGGCGAAGATAACGGGCAGCATTTGCCTGAAAGCTATCAACTAGTCGTCAATATGAAAGCGAGTTTAGTCTCAACGCGAAGCTCGCGACGATCAAGTCAGGAAAATCTGTCGGACGTTATCTGTTCATGTTGGCGGCAATGAAACTTCATCTGATATTGCTGGGCGCATTGGGCGCCATTGGCATTGCTGGTAAGATATTTGGCCTTTTTTGTTACATCATTTATCTGGAATTGTGCTACCTTGTTAGTCGAGCTTGAGTCTCCTCTGACCTTCAACCGGTTATACCGGTTGTTGTAATAGTGCAATGCTAATTGATATTGAATTAATCGGAATGCTGATCTCCGTTAGCTGCCGCCACTGCGCAATTTAGTTATGGCAGCTGCGAGACCAAAGACACCAAGGAGCACGGCTTGTGCATTCACATACGAGACTGTCCATTTCTCTACGAGATACTCAATATAAGCCAGTCGACGCCAGAACAGCGTCAGCTGCTCTCCGATAGCCAATGCGGCCTGGATAATACTCGTCAAAGCGGGTTGGTGCAGCGTATTCTGGTGTGCTGCCCGGACAGCAAACGCCGCATGCAGAGCGCAGACACTGCAACTGGAACACCGATTGATAATCGTTCTGGGGGCGAGCCTGATCCGAGCAATGTGCTACCTAGCATAGGCACTTGCGGTATTTTATTTTCGAATCGCATTATTGGCGGCACTAAAACGCAGCTCTTCGAGTTTCCCTGGATGGCGCTCCTGCAGTACAAAAAGCGTAAGTTTCAGCCACTTATCTGCTTAGCATCTGGTTGATTTATCTTTCAAACTGGCAGCCAAGGATGAGCTCGATTTTAACTGCGGCGGAACATTGATCAACTCACGCTACGTTCTGACGGCCGGTCACTGCTTGAATAGCAGCCAGCTGCAAATGCATGGCTGGCAGTTGTATAGTGTGCGTCTGGGTGAATGGGACATAAGCACTGCTCCGGACTGCGTGACCGAGGTGGGCAATAAGCAACGCACTTGTGCACCCATGCACTTGGACATTGAGATTGAAAAGCGGATTTTGCATGAGCTATATGTGCCAAACTCCATTGATCAGATGCACGACATTGGACTGTTGCGTCTCAAGCAAGCGGTGCGCTTTACGGAATATGTGAAACCCATTTGCCTGCCGGTTGGCGACGATGTGCGCAATAACGATTTCGAGGGCTACGCCATGGACGTGGCAGGCTGGGGTGTTACTGAGGACGGTAAGCCTAGCAATGTGAAGCTTAAAATTACTGTGGATGTGTGGACTCTTAAAAGTTGCCAGGATAAATATCGCGCCTACCAGATGCATCTGAATAGTTCACAGTTATGCGCTGGCGGAAAGATAAATATTGACACCTGTCAAGGTGATTCCGGCGGGCCACTAATGGTACCTACCCATGTGGGTATGCAGGAAGTTTTCTTTGTGGCCGGCGTCACATCATATGGCCCCAAGCCCTGCGGCCTGCAAGGCTGGCCAGGTGTTTACACGCGCGTGGGACAATATGTCGATTGGGTAGTGAGCAAATTAGAAATTTAATCCGATTGATTACTTTAATAAATAAAATTGGTAATTTATTATTCACATAGTATCTTGCATTTCCTAGCTTATTTAATATGAAAGAAGCGATGTGACCAATTGCCTGCTTTTACTACATTATTTAAAGTGGAATGCAGATTCCTAGTTGGGGTTCAGCTTAAATCCAAGTGCTATTAACCTAGCGCACAA